CCCCCATCCCCCCCCAGGAAGCCTCAGAGAATACATCCACACACAACGGGATCCCATCTGCTCTCGAGGGCTCCTGCTCAGGAAGGAGAGACACAGCGCAGCTGGCTTACCTGCGTGTTGGAATAGAGATGAGGAGGGGGTGGAGGGGGCAGAGCTCCTGGGGGGTAGGGGTAGCCAGGATTCCCAAAATTCATGACTCCAGGAGGGGAGAAGTAAGTCGGTGCAAGCAGCTGCTGTGGCGGGGGCTGTCCTGGGGGCATGGAGACTGGCGGAGGGTACAGCCCAGGGTTTGCCATGGGCGCTGGCGTCTGGTGGGGATGTAAACCTGGGGAGGACAAAAATAAGCTGAATGTGACGTCACGTGTCAAGCCAGCATGTCCCGTGGAGGGCCAGGGCTGCTAAGATGCCAGCAGGTCCGTACGGCTGTGCCTTCCCCACTGCAGCTGGAAGGAGAAGCACTTTGCTCAAAGGCCCTGCCTGCAGCCACGAGACCTCAGTTCCTGCGCTGGGGAAGGAAAAAGGGAAGCGCTTCTCCACACAGCAGAGCACGGCCCCCCTCCCCGATGCCAGGGTCCTGATTTACCGGAACCGGACACGGCCCCGGTCAGCACATCCACTTCAGGAAACAGTTTTTGTGGGCAAGATAGAGAACATGCCAATTCAACAGCTCTCATTTCTGCTTTTCTGATCTACAAGCAGCAGGGACTGAAGAACCAGCCTTCGCACAACAGCTGGCAGAGCCAAACGCCCCACTGAAGGGGAAGAGTCTCAGCCAGGAGAGTCTGCACAGAACCTGCAGCCGTCCAGCTAGAGGCTGCCAAAACATTCAGATCATCTCGGTCCTGCACTGGCTGCAAGAGCCAGAAACGTCTGGTTTTCTTCCCTTAAAATTTATATTTATTGCACTTCACTGCATGAGGGAAGCAGGTCTCTTCCATGTTGTAGAAATAGTGAAAATGGATTCCTCCAGTGACAGAGGCTGTGCGAAACCAGAGTTATCTGCTCCCCAGCACAGGCTGAGCCTCCCCAGGGCGCAGCCGCAATGTCAGTACCAGCTGCCCTGTGCCCCGCTGGGGAGCTGGTTCCTCACCTGGATGAGGGAGGTGCATTTCCGGCTGTACGATCATCCCTTGGGGCGGCAGCGGGGCCGGGTTCTCACTGTGGGTGTAGATTGGTCCCTGGAATTGTACTGCAACACAAAACAGTTGGTAAGGAAAAGCTCCACCAAATTTTATTCTACTGCAGCAAGTCACACGCACACGGCAGCCAGCCGCGGTTACAAGACTTGAACGCAGTGCTGCAAGATACACTCCCACCGGCACACGCAGTCTACCAGGCTCACAGATGCTATGTACTCCCAACGGAAAAGGCTCCTACTCCCTTTGCAAAGCAGGAGAATACTTGGGGAATTTCTTCTCCGACACTTTAAGTGCTGGAGTGAATTCCTAATCCATCCTCAGTCTTGTTCTGTAATTCTCCCTGCTCTTAAGTGTCAAAGACATTGCTCTGATTTCAAGTTAATTTTAAATCCTAGATCTTGTGAAGAAAAGCAGTGTCCTAGAGAGCCCTTCCACAGGGAGGGGAGGCGGTAACACCGATTATATTTCAGCGGGTTTAAACACTGACCAGGGAGGCTCAGAGCAGCTTTTTAGTTACTGTACGAGATGATGCAGCAGGGAAGACAGAGCCCCCGATCTGCCTGACCCTAGCAGGAGTGGGGGGACTCCTGCTCCAGCTGCTCGGGCACCTCGGGAGAGGGAGGAAAATACTCACGTGGGTCGTAGTAGTGCCCTTCCATGATGCTGATGTGCATTGGGGGAGCAGGCTCCGGCACCGGTGGTCTCTGCCGCTGCGACGAGTAGCGTTTCACACGGCCCCCCTGCACTGCCTGAAAGAGGCCAAAGGTGTCGGCAAGGGGCAGCAGCCCTCCCTTCAGCGAGGGAGCACCCACCCACTTCCCCCCCCCAGCCCCTGCAAACCTCTATTTGGGTCACACAGTAAAAAAACACCCAGAAAAGAGAAAGGCTGAGTCGTCCCAGGCAAGCCTCTAATTACTACGACCCAGAAACAAATAAACGCTCGGCTTCCGCGCTTCTAAAAGCAAGAGTCACGCTCCACGCAACATGCTTTACCATTTCCTCCATCCTGTTAAACTGAGGCGGTGGCCCAGTTCCCACGTGCATATGGTTAGGAATACCTGAGGAAGAAACAGGCTGGTTATTATGGTTTGCATTTGCTCCCAGTGAACAGCCACCTCACCCGGCGAGGGCGCTGCCGGGAGGCACCGGTCGTTATTGTACTACAAACAGGCACAGCTCTGGCTTTCACAATGAGAAACCTTTTCTAACAACTTCATCTCTTGGGTTACAATTTCAAATGTTTCAGTGCAAATGAGCAGCTGTTGTGCCACTGTACAATCACTCATGCTGCTCAACACCTTTTAAATCGTGCTAAAAAAAAAAAAAGTAATCCTCAGCTTGAAATCTGGGTCCTGATCTAAGCTCAGTTACTGCTGAGACAAGGACCTCTTCAGAGCAGGAACAAGGATCCACGTGGGACTGGGTAAGCTGCAGTTTAAACCCTCTGCAGGGCGTAACCACTTTTATCATGGGCTCCTTTTAATCCAAACAACAAAGTTGCGGCACACATTTAAAAACACGGTGCCAAACTGATCACAGGCAATTCCAGGGGAGCAAAAGTGGACAAAACACACACTGAAAGCGCCTGCGGATCACCGATATTGTAAATATACGCGCAGGCACGCACGCTGTACCTACAGAATGACCTGATGGCTGGCTCATCTAACCAAGTGCCTCCCAGAATTAACTCCTACCTTCTCTGCTAGGAAGAAGCACGGGGACAGTAGAGTAATATGTCCTTCTTACAGACAGAAAGTGGTCTCCTACCTGCAGTTGAGAGCTATCTCACAGTAAATTTGTTAAAATGCTTCATTTTTAAGCATCAACAAAAAGGAGTACATAATCTCAGCTGCAAGTCACAGCACTTTTGAACTCTCATTCTACTGGCACGTTTAAAGCCTGTCTACTCACATCCGCAATTGAGACCAAGAGTCTGTTCACACAAAGATTTTACCAGTCACATCAGTGCAAGACTTATGGTTTCACGACCTAAACCTCAAAAGATGCTTATGAAAGCTGCAAGTCGCCGCCTTCTCCTTGCTCCAGTTTTATTTCCCTCGGGAAGGACTCTAACACTCCCCAGAAAAGACTCGAATTCTGCAAAGAGATAATTATACCTGAACGACCTCTCGCATGGATGCTCAACTAGAACTCAGTCCTTCGCTCGCGTGGGGGTAACTCTGCCCCACATCCCTCCCTCAGCCAGCCTGCCCGCTGCTGCGAACAGAGAGGCTTCCTCCTACCAGGCACAAATGAATTTGCCAATCCCAGTCAGGCCTTAGCTAGTGGCAACCAAACCTCAACGCTAGGAAATAAGCTGATGAACAGAGGAAAGCTCCCTCCTGCTCCTAGCAGGACGTTACAGGAGCCTGATTATTCATTACCCTTACCTGCCAACCCAGCACAACGCTCCTTATCTCCTGAACCCTGACTCCTGCTGCAGCAGCCGGTCCCACTGTGATTCACACTGCACAAAGTCCCTGTTGCCTGTTCTGCACACAGGCATTCAGCTTCAATGAAGGTTCCCCATCCTCAACACAAAAAAAAGGCAGAGAGAGGGAAAGGATCTACTCTTATGTCCTTCCCAGCCCTAATTCAATCAACCTACACCAGAGTGTTTAATTTCACCTTTTTCTCTTCTGTTTTGTCCTCTCTAACCACCTCCACCGCGCTTTCTCAGCGGCATGCATCGCCATCACGTACATACCCTGAGACTGGACTAAGGCAGAGACAGTTCAGCTCTGACCGACTATGCGAACGCAGAACTGCGTTTGGCTGGGGCTGCAGTGGAAAACCGACAGGCTGCACCCACTTACCCCTCAGTTCCCGGGGCTGTAGGAACTGAGACTGCCCCGGAGTCCAGTTCTGCTCAGCGAGATTCATTTGGGTCATCTCCTGCTCCAGTCCATCCAAACTGGATTCTACCGGCGACTCCCAGTTACTGCTTTTGGCTGGTGGGGAGGATGTCTCGGCTTGCACAGGTTTTGGAGGCACGGGAGTCAGCCCTTCCGAAGCGGGCACTTCGTCTGCCAGCTTTCCCGCATCCCCAGCTTTGATTCTGGTCCTTCTTGCCCGGGAATAAGACTTCTTTTCAATTGGTCTGTCTGGTGGTGGCTGTGCAGCATCAGCAGCCGTGGCTTGGTTTTCCAAAGCCACCTCCTCCTTCACAGGGCTGCTGTGGACGTGTGCCGCTTCCATCTCAGGTGACTTGTCTCTCGGTGGGGATTGCTCTGTACGCTTCGCTCGATAGCTGCTCTCCTGTTTCACTTGCTCGCCGTTTCGAGGCAGATGTTGGACGTTTGCTTCCGAAACTCGGTAGCTCGGACGGGTCTCTTTGTAGCCCCCCATCCTCGGGTAGTTCCTAGGTGGGGGCATCCTCCCTGTACCTGCGGAGCTCCTGTTGGTGAAGGTTCGCGGAGGAGCCGAAGTGCTGTCTGCGGCTTGGTGCCTTGGGGGCTTACTCGGCCTCTCATTGGACCAGTTTGGGTCTCGCTGAGGAGGACTCCCAAACCTGAGGAAGAAAAATAGTACAAACAACTGGAAATAAAACCCTGGGTGAGAGATGCTGCGGTGCCAGGGAACAGCTCTCCTGTATGCAGAGCCCCCAGGAGCAAGGTTCCACCCCGGGGCCAGGGCTTTCCCTCTTGGAGGCTTCAGACCTGTTGTTTGAAGCGCCGGGCACAAAGGCTGAGGTTTCCCTCTGGGATAAGCCAGACTACAGTTTGACTTTGCTGCTCACCTTGGTTTGCGCATTCTCCTCGGCTTGATGTCATCAGGGTTGTGAGCCGACCTGATGTCATAGCCATAAAGCGCAATCAGCTCCTGCCTGGTCTTGGGGGCCTGCTCGTCCTCCCGGAATTTGTCGTGCTCCCAGCGGCCCTCGTCCTTCCACAGCTTCCGCTGACGACCCTTCGGCCTGGAGCAGTTACACAGGGAGAACCAAGCAGTTGTTGCAAAGCCAAGGAGACATGGCAGCTTCAACCAGCCCCATGCACAGAGACTGAGCATTTCTAGGGCAGGGCGTGCACAGGAGATAGTGTCTCTTCCTCCTCCCACTCTACCTGCCCTGAAGCAGCTAGTCTACCCGCTGCTATTTCTGAAAAGCAGCAAGAAGGGTCACTGCTCATTGGCAAAAGGCTTTCCTTGTGGTTTGTTGGGTTGGGTTTTTTTGCACCACCCTCGGTACCTCCTTCAAAACAAAGAGCCAAAATGTCTTGGCAGGACACTGCAAGCTGGCAACCGAAGCACAGACAAATCCTCCTTGCTGATGCCTTCCCAGCTCTTCACGCGGAAGCAAGGAGCCGCGGTGCCAAACACTGGCCTGGGAGCTGGCCTCAGTCTCCCAGAGGTGGGCAGATACATGGGGGATGCTCACATACCTGACCTCCTCCTCCTGCGTCTGCCCTCGGAGGTCGTGCTCAAAGAAGAGCCCTTTGCGGCGGGTATAAGCCGGGTTCTTCCGGTCCTCGGCGGCATCCAGGTGCTTGGGAACTTTTTTTCCAACTTTATTCTCAACAGGTTCAGTGCTCTCCTGTCAAAATCAGACAGCTCTTACCACTGCAGCAGTCCCTCTGTGAGAAGCTCCCCCTCCAGCCCCGAGAACGCATGTTTAACACCTACCTGCCCGTCCCCGCTTTGCCTCTCGCCAGTTACAGCACCTTTGGAGTCAGGTTTCTCATCCCCTTTCTCTGCTTTTGCTGCTGACTCACAGGAATCATTACTGTCCTGCTTCAGTTCCACTTTGGCACTTTCTTCCTCACTGTAATCCTCTTCCTCTGCCTGAAAGAGCCCTGGTTACTCAAACACACACCTTTAGCGGCAGGTTCCCCAGGAATCTCCCCACACAAGTCCCCCAGTCTGGAGTTAGATCCCTGTTCCAGTTGCTAGAGACCCGACTCTCTCATAGCAGGGACCTGGCTCTCAAGCTCCTTCCTATCCCTGTATTTTTACAGAAAAAGCAAAGACTAAACCCAACACCTCTCCCCACCAACTCCCACCAGCAGCATCAGATCCAACAGTCGGGCTTTCTAGAACAGAGCCGGAAACAGCTCCCCTGCAAAGTCGCAGCCTCTCGCTGCTCTGAAAGAGCTCGTGCAAGCCTGGGGGACGAGGGAACAAGGACCCTCAGACCATCCCTTCCTTCCCACACTGAGGGCCCAGATCCAGGCAGCGCCGTGTTTCCAAATTCCCTAGAGTTACTCAGCTGACTCACTCCAAGCACTCTGCTCGCAGGAGCGTGACCTTGTTTCACCCTCCAGGAGCCTGCAAGCCTTGCTTAGGCTGGAACTGACACTAAAAATAGCTCTGCGTGATTAACAAAAAGACTGCTCTATTTTTCTCTTTCAACACAGAGTATTTGCACATCAACTGCTCCTTTTGTTTACGTTGGGGAAACCCAGCCGTGGCATTATTTTTAGGCACAGGAACAGAGTCATCCTGGCATGTCAGTGATGCAATACCCCTGCTGCTCCAACAGCCCAGCGTGCATCAGCGCTGCTCCACTTCTACGT